CCCTTACCTAGCAAATGTACTCTATGACGAACAGGCTGTTAAAGTTAACCTAGTCAATAATCTGCATTCTTAACATGACTCTAATTGAAAAGTTGTACAGTTTTTTTTTTCAGTAAAAGAAACTTGTTGAAATATCTTTTTGTGCTGAGAATTCTATATTGTACCAAAATCAATAATATTGAATAAAGTCATAAAATAAATAAAAAATCCATAAGGTGAAAGCTTTGTGATTATCATGTGAAACTCACCTAATCTTAACGTGTCTAATTCCTCCAAATCGTAAGTTATTGAGTTGATGACATATATGAAAGCTTTCAAACGTTTTCGTAAACTATCATAAATATCAATTATATATATATATATATATATATATATATATATATATATATATATATATATATATATATATATATAAAGGAAAACCAAGCAGCACATTACGTCGACAATTTGAAGCAGACATAAAAATGAATAATAGCTGGAAAGGACTGCTCAGGACAGAGTTCGATAGAGAATCCGGGTGGGTGACCTACGGTACTCCACAAGGGGTAACAAATGTAAGTAGGCAATATAAAGGTGCAGTGTAATACGATTTATTTCTCTTGATAGAGTAAAAGATCTACTTTTCTTCCTTCTATCATCAGCGATATATTGATTGTTTATTTGAATTTCCTCTTAGTTGAGTAAACGTTGGGAATGATTTCCAAATTATTATTATTAATTATATGTTTGTTATAAAATTTCTGAGAAACTAGATTCACTATATCTATGTATTCTGTTTATCATAGGCTTTCGTTTAACCTATTCACTATTATTATGTTACTTTCTTTTCCTAATTTGTCCCCAATCTATCACTTACAGCTACCCCTATTGACAGCTACATTTGACTCGTCCATGTATAAGTTATTTTCCATTTTTTGGTATAATCCAGTTCAAAATATCTGTATATAAACCACATCTGTATGAAATACAGTAAATAGTAATAGCTGGTTGCTGATTTTTTGAAATTAAGGTAACATTTGAGAGTAATGGATCAACAGGAACTCAACTGGGTTAGCTCAAGGTCAATTGTGCTACTTAGACATATGATAGGTTAAGTCGAGTACAGTAGGCTACAGAAGAGATGATAGATCCAAAGTAGAGAAAAATTAAAATTCTGATTAGTGACTTGTTATGTAACATTCGTCATGCGGTATCAAAACACGACAGAACCTGTAACTCATAATAATTTGAGTATTTAATAATTGAACTGTATTTCTACTAAGTTTGAAGCTGTTACGAGTTCACTTAGACTGCGAACGAGAACAAAGACCAATAAGCTAGATATTCTGATGCATCCCAGCCCCGCTAACTACAATCCGTTCCAATCAAACCTTTGTTTGGCCATGCTGGGAGGTGTTCACGAGCACGAAAATGTAAATTCCTAGAACTTCAACCAATATGACTTGCTCCACAGGAGCAGTCGATCCGGTAAATACAAAATGAGGTGATCATTCTAGGTAATTCATCTTATAGACTAGGTGTCACCATTGGGTGCGTAGAAAACACTAATCGCAGTTCTCCGACGTTGAAAGATTTTTGTATTGTCCTGCGTAATCTCTGAGTTAATATTTCACTAACCGCATCCCATCTGAATTATACGCGCATGAACAGGGATTTCTTCTTCACGGTTTGTATTTCGCCTATTTTCACCTTCGTGATCATATATTTAATTATAAACTTTCTAGGACAAACGTTTTCCCTAAGAGCATTATGCAAGGTGTTTAGCTTATCCTCAACTATATCCGCAGAACATATAGTGCGTATTCAGTAACTAAGGATTTTGATCAAGATTCGTTTGTACTGTAGAGGTACAAAACTAAGGTAATGCGTATATTGCCCAGTCCAGGTACTTATTCTGTTTAAGTTCCTTTTTAACGATCCATCCGCTCGCTTAGTTAAGAGAACATCCAAAAAGGCTATTCGACCATTACTCTCTTCTTCAGATGTAAACTGAGTGGTTGAATTCACTTCATTAACCCGCTTAAGAACCTCTTGCTGTGATGTATTATCTTTACAGAGGATGAACGTATCGTCGATATATCTAAAGTAAAATGCGATTTTTTGAATAATCTTTAGTAGCGGACCATTTTCTAGCTTTGCTAGAAAAATATCAGCTAGTATAGGGCCCAGTGGTGAATGCATTGCCATACTATCTGTTTGTCTATATATTTCACCGTTGAACTAGAAATTCACATTCACGGTGCATTTGAGTAATAACTCTTTCATGACATTCATAGGAACTGTAATTTTGTCCAGTTGTTCGCCTATATATTCTACAGTCCCTATGAAACGGACGTTTGTGTATAACGATGTTACATCCAGAGACATCATCATCAGTCCCAACATATTTGCATCTCTGATTTTGTCAATAAATTGGAATACATTTCTTTTCAATTCGTCTTTTATCATGACTCTACACTAATATATAAGTATGATTTACAATGATGAAATAAAACTCATCGAGTGGATACGTTACGTAACAATGACAAAATGACATTTCGACTATAAATGAACATTGAGTAATTGGAAGAAATAGGATTGATAATATTCAAAGTAATTATTCGAAAATCAATTAGTTGCTAAGTTACATAATATATGAAGAAGAGAAGGAACTAACAGAATATTTTGATGAATGGTAAGTAGAATAGTAGTTATGTAAGAATCAAGAGACGAATGTCGAGAATGAGTTCGCAAAACAAAATGGACGAAGTACGAAAATAGTTTATCAATGTTCTGTTACAAACGCCGCTATACCGATAGCCAAAGTAGCAAGTGGTTGTACAATTTTCTTTTGGATGCAAAGGTTAGGTTTGTGAACATGGATTGTAATGGCTTCAGCAATGTACAAAAGACGCACCGATAAATTATTTAGCGAATTCGATGGAATATATCAGATAACCTTTAAAGATTTATTCAATTCAACTTGGTAACCTGTGACAAACAAATGAGCAAGAATAGAACTCTTAATCACTTTGACCTGTTCTTTGCTTAACCACGTCGGTTGGTGCTCAGTTATACGATAACGAACTTGCTGAACTGTACGCTTTATATAACTGGCTCCACAAGGACAGTTGAATCGATACAAACACATGGATTTGGCGAATTCAAGCAATCTGTCTTTATTGGCTCTTCTTAATTGTGGGGTGGTTGTAGAAGATAGCACTTAGTCTGGCTGCATTAATGTTTTCTGGACCACTTTTCATAGTCTCTGAGTCACAAACGAAATGTCATTATTACGTAACGTATCTACTCGATGAGTAATATTTCATTATTGCAAACCATATATATTAGTGTATAAGCCATGATAAGAAACTAATTGAGAAGAAATTTCTTCGCTCAATTCGTTCCTTCTTTATTTACCAAATGTCAAAATGGGAATTTTCACTAAATTGGAAAACATCCTTAACACCATGTTTTACAAGCCTTTCGTGGAGAGGTTTCAATATATATTTACCTTTCTCGATTGTTCCATTCAAGCAGTGGAGTTAAGCAGGGTTGCCCAATATCACCATCCCTCTTCCACTTTGCCATCGATGATGACATTCTGGAAACAGCTCTGACGGATGTAAGTAATGGCGATGTGGATCTGTTACCTGGAGAAAGACTTCTCGACCTTGAGTATGCGGATGATATTGTCTTACTGTGTGAGAATGCCCAAGCCATGCAATTCGCACTTAATCAGTTGGCAATCAATGTCCGTAAGTATGGTATGTGCTTCGCACCTTCGAAGTGCAAAGTACTTCAACAAGACTGGCAGGATTCTAATCCTGTACTCACTCTGGATGGTAAGCAGATAGAAGTAGTCGAGAAGTTCGTGTATCTAGGTAGCTGCTTGAGTACTGGTGATGGCGTGAGTGATGAGATCAATGCACGTATAGTGAAAGCCAGAGCGACTTATGCCAATCTGGGACATCTTCGGCACCTTCGTGATGTTAGTCTGGCTGTTAAAGGTCGGATCTACAACGCGTCGGTTAGAGCAGTTTTGCTCTATGCTTGTGATACCTGGCCTCTCTGAGTTGAGGATGTTAGATGACTCTCTGTGTTTGATCATCGTTGTCTCCGAAGGATTGCTGACTGGTTGGAAAAAGCGGAGAGGTGGTCAGTGTATGACATAATGCCGTGGTATCAAAGAAAGCTACAAAGGGCTGGCTTCTGTCGGTCCTTCAAGACTCCCTGGCTGGGGGTCCGAGAGATGGTGTAACAGTGGCTAGAAACGTTATCAGATATGGCTCAGAATAGAAAACAGTGGCGATCCTGCTGTAAACTTTTACTTTCTTCACAAAAAGTGGTTGCATCTTCCTTAACTGAAAGAATTCTTTCTGATTGTACCTTTCTGATTCTCCCATTATTATTATTATTGTTATTTCACTATCTTACACTAATCTTATACGCACCTTACCTTATCTTTCCATTCTCATTATTATTGTGTGCCGGATATTGTATCTGGTGCCCCGCTTGTACCAATATTTATGTGTTCAAATAAATAAATAAATCACTTAGCTATAGTATGATAAAAACGAGTTATCCATATCTAGAATTGATCTTAATGGAATCATCCTTAGTTTGTTTACTTTTGACAATATATATCATCTTGGCAGATAGGTTAGGTTCTCACTGGTCAAATATAATAAATAAATATCAATTTAGGGGTTGTGGAGATTGCCAAGTTTTTGATTGAGATCATGAACCGATAGATGTTAGACCACCATTGAAAACCTGAAAGCATTGGACGGCCGTTTCGCGTTCACGCACAACACTGAAGGCCCTGGGTTCGAATCCCGCGATCGGGATCGCGGATGCGCACTGTTGAAGAGTCCCACAATAGAATGAAACGGCCATCCAGTGCTTACAGGTTTTCAATGATGGTCTAACATTAATTGGTTCATGATCTCAATCAAAATCAATAAATGAAAACAACAAAAACAACAACAACAACAACCATCTATTGACTTACATCATTTTTATAATAAAATATCAAAAATACCTTGAATAGGTTCTATAGTATCAAAAAATTTTAAAATATGATTTTTATACGAATATGGTATTAAATAATTTAATAAAATTGATTGTTTTTTAATTAAATTATTATTATTATTATTATGATAATCCGATTGACAAACGATTCTTGTATGATGATTATTTCGGATTGGTAAATAACGACGTGATAGAATATGTTGTTGATATGTTGGCCAATTATCAAGTGATTCTATTATGAATGTCGGCGATGATGGTGATAATATAGATTGGATAGTTTTCGCCTCTTTAGATTGTGTCGGTAAATTTGAACTGAGAGTATACTCATTATCAGATTGATTAGTAGTGTTATTAATATTATTATTAGACAAGGAAGATACAAGATTTATACTGTGTAATTGATGATAAGATATATTCTTACGATAGTTGAGTATTTTTCGCCACCAATTTTGAATTCGACATGCAGCAGTTTTATATTGTAGATATCTTTTAAAAACTGAAGTGGTCAAGAAGAACAGACGAAAACATGTGATTGAGAAAAGATTGATTAGCATAGGTAACATAAAATAAGAATCATATTCGTAAACATATTATCGATTGAAACTAAAAATAACCCAACGGTTTGTTCGTCAGTTTGATCTGAGTTTCTTCAGCGAAAATTCAGATCAGACTAATAAATGAAACGTTGGGTTATTTTTAAGTTTGATCGATAATATGTTCACGAATATAATTTCCTTTGTAATGTTTTTTAAACACGTGATGATTTAATTTACCAAAGGTTTACAAGTATATTCGTCGTTAACATCACTTGTCTTTAAATGCCCTGGTACGGCTGAGAGTGAGAGAGTCGGCTCTCCCTCTCGAAATGCTCTCACATGGCCACGTGCAAACAACCGCTGCCAGTGAAGTCCTACTCTCGGCCTACTCGTGACCAAGGTGTTGTTTATGGAATTGAAAGGACGAAAAGTGAATGTCCGGAGAGTCCACCTACATGAGTTTAAAAACCCTTATTCCAAACCGATGTTGTAAATGGGCTCCAGGATCCTGGAGGAACAAGTGGAGTAAGAACCAATTATTGGTCACCCACTACCATGTGACTGCATCTCCTGATGTTGCTGCACTGCCTTGCGGACCGGACCTTTAGGTCAAAGCCTCCGGGTGTGTACTCCTAAGAAAACCACCTGATTCCGTTTGGGCATCCGGGTAACATCCCAATTGTGATCGGTTATAAACAATATATAGTATTAGAATATTGATTATTACTGATATAAGACCAATAATAGATATGGATTGTTAAAGTTTAATCATATAGACAAAGAATCAACCAATTTATTACATCATCTAAAGTCGGATTGGCTTATTTCCACGATGGTAAATGGGTTGATGAAATTATCAACCACTATTAGGATATTGCAGTTGTAATATGTAATACATATATCTAATCATCCTCAATAGACAGACAATGTCTCAATTAACTAACATCTAAATAGAGTGTGAACTGTTATTAAACAATGGAGTAACTAGTGGTTTACAAGTTGAGCGACTAAAATGTTAATTTGAACGATATTTGAATGTACATAAATTGCCTAGTTACAAGTTATAGTCCAAAGAATTACCTTAATTCATGATTAGAGAATATCAATGAAATCGTACAAAATCAACCGAACTCGCACAAATGTAGTCATTATTTTACGATTCATTTAGTTAACTTCATTTTGGATGAGGTTAGATGTGAGAAGTGTAACATTTTGTCCCAGGATATATTTTCTGCAGTCTCCAAATGTTGTTTATGACTGACTAACTGATTGAAAGCACAACAGATTTAATATTTCATTGAAATCATGAATCAATCCGTGTTAGACCACCATTAAAAACCTGGAAGTACTGGAATGCTGTTTCACCCTGGTATGTGACTCCTCAGCAATGCGCATCTAAGACCTCGCATTTGGGAATCGAACACAGGATCGCTGGCCTCGTATGCGAATACCTATCTCTAAACAGTCGACTTGGCATCCAATCGAGTTATTATCTAATCCCAATCAATCCACAACAATGCGCGACCACCTTTCATTGGTGATCTAACATTGATCAGTTCATGGTTTCGATGAAATTCAATAGTCTACACAATCCAACACTGAAAATTATCATGTGTTCATTAGCTTCGAGAGGAAACTTACAGAGTTCTAGTGAGAAGCTATGACCAGCAGAGCTGACAGGTGTCGGGTGTGAGACATTTACCCACCAAAGATGGTTGAGTAATGTTTTGGATTAATTAAGATTAAACACTAACATCGTGGGACGCCTGCTCAGTAGACTAAAAATAGAAAGTGCTGGGTTTGATTTCTGCTGAGGTGTCTCATACTAGAACGAAACAGGCGACCAGTACTTCCAGAATTTCAATGGTGGTCTAACTTAGATCGGTTCATGATTTCAATGAAACTCGACAATCTCCACAATCTCATACTGAAGATTTAATATTCATAATAATAATAAATATAAAATAATTTTAATAGTTGAGATCATAAGTCAATTCAAGCTAGACCACCATAGAAAACCTGTAAGAATTGGACGGCCCGTTCGTTCTATTGTGGGACTCCTCAGCAGTGAGAAGCGGTGACCAATGGAGTTCAACCGGATCAGTTGCGAGATAGTAACTCACTAAAGACAAAACTAGATTTGTTGCTCAATTTCGTGGATTAGTTGAACTTAGATATTAACACTGTTTTATAAAAGATGGCTCAGTGGTCTAGAGGTTAATTGCACGAACGTGAGACCGATAGGTCCTAGGTTCGAATCTCGCGAGGCGGGATAGTGAATTTGAACTATAATATCAAATAATTAAAGTTGATAAAATAACAACATTCACATATATACATTGTAACTTACAACGTTGTATCACTTTCACATTACGATTTAACATGAATTCTTTCAAGGTAAATAAATGTTGAAATTGACTTTTTGTTAAATGAATACATGTACGACCAAATTGATGAATAATTGGAAATTGTAAAGATATTTGATTAGAAATATTTAGATTCTCCTTATTTAAAACTTTAGTTTCATAACAACAATTGATTGGAATTAAATTTAATCCAAGTGTTAACATAATAAGAACAAATTGTTGTTGTTGTTGAATGGTTGATTCACCTTTTAAAAAAAAGAACATTGTTCAATATACCAAACAAGTAACTAAGTATATATATATATATATATATATATATATATATATATATATATATATATATATATATGCTGAGATGATGGTGAAGTTTTGTAGCTCAGATGGATGATTTTGACAGAGTTTTATTCTCTGAGCTGGATGGTTTGATTGTGGAGAGTCCGCTCTTTCTCTCTCGAAATGCTCTCACATGGCCACACGTATATAACCTCTGCCGGGAAGTCCTACTCACTGCCTTCTCGCACCACGGGTGCTGTTTACGAAAATGAGAGGACAAAAAACGAATGTTTGGCGCTCTAACCGGATTGGTGGATACGCAGAGTCCACCTAGGGGAGTTAGAAAACCCTACTTCCAAACCAATGGTGCACATGGGCTTCAGTATCTTGAAGGAACAAATGACGTATGAACCAATCGTTGGTCACCGGCTACCATGGAACTGTATCTCCTTACGATGCTTCACTGTCCTGTAGATTAGACCTTTAGATCGAAGGCTCGGGGTGTGGCTCAGAGGACAAAACTCCATCATATATTCATAGACGAAGCTACTTTCTCTGACTTGAAGAGTTGAATTGTTAGGTCTTTTTTTATCAATCTTTATTTCTAAAGAATAGATTGATATAACCGAATAGTAGTGACATTTTATCCTTTCCGTAATAGATAATGATATCATTTAGATGTTCAAATTAGAATAAATGGAACAGAATTCGAATCTGTAATTGAATAGTTGAATGTAGAGTTGGCCCCCAAATGCCCTGGTACGGCTGAAAGTGGGGAAATGCTCTCACATGGCCATGCGTATATAGCCCCTGCCAGGGAAGTCCTACTCACTGCCTTCTCGCACCACGAGTGTTGTTTACAAAAATGAGAGGACGAAAAGCGAATGTCCGGCGCTTTAACCGGACCCCAAACCAATGGTGCACATGGGCTCCAGTATCCTGAAGGAACAAATGGCGTATGAACCAATCGTTGGTCACCGGCTACCATGGGAATGCATCTCCTTACGATGCTCCACTGCCTTGTGGATCAGACGTTCAGGTCAAAGGCTCGGGGTGTGGCCCCCTAAGAAAACCACCTGCTTCGGTTTGGGCACCCGGGCAGTATCACAGCCCTCACACAAATCAATTGAGATTCGTGTGGCGCATATGTATTTGGTGCCTCCCTGTACCTATACTTATGTGTTAAAATAAATAAATAAATAAATGTAGAGTTGTTTAAAACATTGGACAATCCACTCTATTCACTGATATGATCAAGTTCATTTAATACAATAATCGATAAAGATTTCTACCAACAGAACTATATATTTCAGTAAATCACAAGATACCAAACAGTGAAGTTTGATATGTGGTTGTCGGGAATTAATATTTATGAACAATATCATTAATTATAAAAGTTAAAATGTTAATTTCTACTTTAGCCACTTCTTATACATGTGTGCTAGAGTCCTATGATGTTTTATTTAACTGAATGACTAACTATCATTAACAAAAGATTATAGGAAAATAAGTGAATAACAATTGATTCCAATTTGAAAACTAGAATATTTAATTCGAATAGATTAGTGATAACGTCTCTAACGATGAAGCTGGGTGACATAGAATAGAATCTACAAGACAGTATCAATTTCTTTAAGATTATAAGCACATCATAATGATGAATGGCAACTAGTATGAAACCTAGGTCAACGAAAGTTTCCTATCAACTACATCCAATAACCACCTTATGTTGTCTAAAAGGTAATAAAAGAAAACACCATACATAATTGAAACATACAAGTAGCTGGAAATCACTTACATCACTCTGCAATGTTCAAACATCATCAAAGTTACTGATAACAATTATATAACATTGGTATGAAGGGAATTATTTTAATTCACAAAAACGGAACTCTATTCTGGTCGTTTTTATTTTATTTCTGTTTTAAATTGGCAATCAACTACACGATAGTGTAGTTATTAAGATATTACCAAGAGTCTTTCAACGAGATGACTAGAATTGATTTATGTGGAAAAACAACAATTCACTGATAAAGTTTTTATTTTCCTCTGGATATTCGATTCTACATACGTTCTCATTTCATTTTCTTAATTTCATTCAGTCATCTTAGTTTAGCATGGCAACTTGGGCCAACGTTTACCTGTGATTAACTGATAAAGTCAGTTTGCATGATTTAAGTACCGATTAAATGTTCAAATAAGCCGAAGTTAATGGTGAGGATAAGGGTTTTATCTTCACTATTCACATAATTTAGTAATAAATCTTAACTAATTAACCATTACTCCAAATATTTTAATGCAACACACGAACATCATAGTTACTTGGAATCTTCTTAAGCTAGTCACTTTAAAGAACAGCAGTTGTTAAATGTTCCTTGGTATTCCAGCTGTTGATATCAATCTGTAGTGAACACCTACGTAAAGTTAATATGGAATCACCATGACTTTGACCCATGGTAATAAAAAAAACGTTTTACAGAGATTGTTTAAGTTGGAGATAGTTTGCTTTACACATTAACATTCGTTGAGGATACCACTAAAAACTACATAGTATTGGGTAAAAATTTTGTTTTTTTTATGGGGATCTTCAACAATATATACCTAGAACTGAATCTATGATTTTCGGGACTCAAAAGATAGTGCTTTAAATTCAGAAGGATGAATTAGCATCTCATGATTTATATTTCCAATTTTACACTAATTCACAGAGGATCATGAATACACAGTGCTGTAAATGCTTACATCAGTGCAAAAAAGATATCCAGTACCCCTTGGTTTGTCAAAGGATTTTAGGCTAAACTTGTCTAACGGCGATATAGACTATCACTGAAAAAAACAAACATTACTCAAACAGAAAATGAACACCTACAAAAACTTACTTGTTTCTCGACGTAATTTAAGTTGTGTTCGTTTAGATGTTGATCGATTTAGTTGAATTAACTTAAGATACCATGAATTTAATAAAGAGAATTCAGTTTCCATTAATTGGTTAGCTGGTGGATGAGGATTTAATTGCCAAAATACTCTGTACTGACTGATAAACTCCTTGTATGTATACCTAAGAAAAAAGTGACATTTAATACTAATAAATAATTTATTATGTGAATAGAAGCCGACAAAAACTAGATAGATTGCTAACATGATGAATAAGAATTTAACCTAACTACTTAGGTCCTAATTCGTTGAATAGTAAAGGAATTACACAATTGTTTTCTTCTAATCAGTTATAAAATCTAATCTTCTTTTTTTTGATGGAGTTTTGTTCTCTGAGCTGGATGGTTTGGTCGTGGAGCTTTCATCGTTCTTCTGAACGACATCATCAGCACAAACTTCAATCAGCGTGCACCAAAACAGTTGTGCATTGAGCATACATTAATCCAATCTATGTCCCGTTAACATTTACTAGTGGTGATATCTTGTTGATGAAGTATAGCTAATGTAAGTCACGTTGACATACACACACCGGTAGGTAAATCAGTGAAATAAAGATATAATAATTATTTTAGTTATGTTGAGTTTTCTGTGCCAGAAAGTTTGATTGCGGAGTTTTGACTGTCGTTTTGGATGACTTCATAAATGCATAATTCAGACAGAAGTGAGCTTTTTAGAAGAAGACAGTTCGTTTTGATTGCCTTTGTGTTTTTGTACACATGTTGACCGTCATTTTGGATCGACCTTTGGACGTCTGAAGTAGGTTCGGATAATGTTGTCGAGAACAAAAATGAAAGCTCAACAATTTAAACCATTTAACTTCATAGAGCATAACACTTCAAAAAAATGAGCTAAAAATCCACAATCATGATAAAGCCTATCAGTACCTACCAACATATATTGACACAATTGTAATATTCCTATTGATGAGTGGTTTGCCAAAATCTTTTCCAGAAGATTAATGACTAATCGAAGTGTGGAATGATACCAAACTCATGTTATAAACCTCATTAAAAACCCTCTATGAAGATTATCAGGACTAAGAAAAATCACTTTCCAACAAACTACATTACATTAGAACAATTAGTTTATAAAAATCAATAATTACTTTGCATAGTATGTTGAACGTAAAACTTCCAATGCAGCTAAAAGACCACTAGTTAAAAGTTGATCTTGTATATAATTACGATCAATAATAGATAATGAGTTGATAGTTGAACAATTCAATTCAGAAGGTAAATCCGGTCGAATACAACGTATAAAAAATAAATTATGACAATTGAGACAATCAAGCAATTGATCTACAGATGACTTCATTGAAGAAGACAAAAACAAACATTATGTGATTTAAATTCTCAAACAATAGAAGTAGTATATTTAAATTATAACTAAAAAGACATTAGACTGAGGCAATGCAGAGTAAATATCTACAACCAAATATGAACCTGTAATATCCTAGTAAAGATTATATTACGAGTAACTTCTAAGACCTATTAATGAACTAATATTATCTATATATTCTTATGGTATAACTCTATTCAGTAATTAGATTGTGTATATCTATATTTTTCTTATTATAAAAGCTTTATTTTGACCTATAGGCTATTATGATACGATTTACTGTTCTTTAAGTTATGTTCAATTGATTGATCACAGTCTCCCACGTTCACAGCTACTTTTTGGCTTTATTGTGTATAAATGTTATTTCCTATTTTATAGTGAGATGTGGTCTGTTTGTTTGATATATAAACCCATTATGTCTGAAATAAATTATTTGCATAGCGGAAGCTGTTATTGGTGTTCTGGACTCAGCTGGACGGGCTAGGCGAGCGAAGGATCAATAAGGAGGCTAGACTGACCAGACCGAACGAATGTTATTGGTTTAATACAGTACAAGGGTGAATAAGTAATATTTTGATAGGCGAATACATTACATGATAATTAGTGGGCCATAAAGACACAACAGAATCGACCAACTGTAAACGTAATTAAGAAAAACAGAAAGTTAAAAATCCTGATCACAATAAAAACAATCAGTAACAGTTGGTTGACAATATTATTACAAGTGGTTTAAAGTTGTGGTACCTTCAAACAACTTGTAGACAAATGATTAGAAATTATTCAGAATTACTGTTTGATTCATTTGTTTATAGAAATGGAATACTGAAATGAAAATATATCCAGATACACAACTGTGTATCTCGTAATATATTGAATAATTCAATTCACCCGGTCGGTGTTATACATTTGGATGGTGACTAGATTATGATTCGGTTCGATTCGACAATCTGATCTTTGGGGTAATCGCCCATGGTAATTGTGAAGATACAAGGATGAAGAATTTCTGAAAACCGTTTATACGTTAGACAGGTTGGTGTATTGTAGTCGGTTTAGCATTATCTTTAAGTTTGTCTATAATAGAGTTTTAGAGGATTTTGTCTGAGCCAACTACATAGGATTTATTCGATTGATGTTGTGTTTTCTGTTTTCATCTTTTTTTCTCTAGTTATAGATGACTATAATTGTTCTGTAATGGTACCAGAAATAACCCTATTCATGTGTTCATAGAAAGTTTTATTCTCCCTACAAAGAATTAGTAGATTTCAATTGATTTCTCAAATTGTTGTAATCCTTGTAACAAATACTCGTCTAAAACAGTTTATTAATCGCATAATTTTATATAATTTAACCTTATCATCTTTGCCCCTAATACTAATTCACTTGTTTAGTAGTATAAAAGTCAGTCAATCAGCAACAACGTGAAACTTCGTACGTACGTACATCAGTTCGAGTTGCCATACCACATTATCACACAGATATAATTATCCATTCAAATTCCATAATCGTAGAGGTAAAAGTATAAGCAGTATTCAGAAAGATTAAGGTTTGAAGATGTTATTCAAGGAGTATAATCCAGTGAAATAAATTTGGAAGGAGAAAAAGGAAAGAGACATGAAGAATTCAGGAGATTAGAATGAAAGCCCAACTTCAATTCATATTCGAAAATCAAATGATACTTGTTTATCATAAATATTGAAATATAAAAAAGTGAAGTGTGTGTGTGTTACACAGATCGACAATGAACTAAATGTTTATAGCAGTTATTTGGACTGATTTCATTAATTTATTCTAACAAGAACAAATTGATAAAAAGAAAACAAATTCTGTATATACAAATTTTATGTAAATGAAAAGGACTAGACATGTTGTTATTTAAAAGTATCTAGGCTAAATATGATAAGGTTATGTAGTTGGCGTAGACAAAATCCTCTAAAACTCTATTATAGACAGACTTAAAGATAATACTAAACCAATTACAATACACCAACCTATCTAACGTGTAAATTCACAGGATATACAACTGATTATAACATCCCCCCTCACTTTACTAATTACTCAAAAAGAGGAACCTTAAAGGTTATGCACCAAACACGTTTCATCCTCAATGATCTGTTACTTTTCTTAACTGTGAGTCAAATCAATATGAATTTCTTTTGTTCGCATAATAATTTCTTTCGGTCTCCAGAAATTCTTCATCCTTGTATCTTCACAATTACCATGGGCGATTACCCCAAAGATCAGATTTTCGAATCGAACCAAATCATAATCTAGTCACCATTCAAATGTATAACACCGACCGGGTGAATTGAATTATTCAATATATTACGAGATAAACAGTTTTGTATCTGGATATATTTTCATTTCAGTATTCCATTTCAGTAAACAAATGTACCAATTACCAATTCTGAATAATTTCTCTCTAAAAGTCGTTTGAAGGTATCATTAATTTAAACCATATGGGGTAATAATGTCAGTCACCGATAGTGACTATATGGTACGTGAAACTATGTCAAAGTCACCATATGATAACCAGAGAGGGATTAGTTTGGCTAATATAGCATCTAAAATACTAGCGTCAATAATTATCGGTCGCCGAACTAAGACTCGTGAACTGTAAACACGAGAAAATCAGGTTGTCTTCACACTTGGTCGTGGCTACATCGACCATAAAATCACCATTCGTCAGGTTGTAGAACACAGGCATTCATATCGGCGTCCGACAATGGTGGTCTTTCTCAACTTAAAAGCAGCATTTGACTCTGTTGACCGAGAGGTTCTGTGGCAGTGTCTGTCATTGAAAGGCGTACCTCAGAAGTACATACACCTTGTGAAGGCTTTTTGCTCGAACACTACTAGTCGGGTCAGAGCCTATGGTGAACTGTCATCTGCTTTTGCAAACTCAATTGGTGTAGTTGGTAGCCCATCAAGGCTGTTTACTTTCTCCATTTTTGTTTAACCTCATCATAGACCTCCTGATGGAAATAACGCTCTCATCGACTGAATTCTCGGGCATTGATCTAACAAGTGGTCCACTTATCGATTTAGAATACGCAGATGATATAGTCCTGTTTGATGAAGACGCTGATAAAATGCAGTCTTTTGATAGTACTGAGCAACAATGTTAAAATACTTAGGATGCGCTTCTCTCCCTCTAAATGCAAGTTGTTGCTTCAGCACTGGTCTGCGCCAACACCTGAACTAAGGATAGGGGGTGAAGTAGTCGAACGCGTTGACAACTTCACTTATCTTGGAAGTCTGATCAGCCCTAATGGGTTGATGTCTGACGAAATCTCAGCACGGATTCGAAAAGCTCGTTTGGCTTTTGCGAACTTACGTCAGTCGGTCAATCAGTAACAACGTGGAACTTCGTACGTACGTACATCAGTCCGAGTTGCTATACCACATTAGCACAGAGATTCAGTTACCGATTCAAATCCCGTAGTGGTAGAGGTAGTGAAAGTATAAGTAGTGATAGGGGACATTAGGGTTTGATGACGTTATTTAAGGAGTATAATCCAACTTACGTCACCTATGACGAAGGCGAGATATCCGTCTATCAATTAAGTGACGAGTGTATTGCACGGCAGTTCGTCCTGTATTACTTTACGGCTACGAAACGTGACCACTAAGAGTAGGAGATATTCGTATTTGGCTCGATATAAGTGAATAAACGATTTTCCTGGGTTTTTTCACATGTTCGTCTGTATGCTGGTTTAACATAATCCCTTTACATACATATGCTTCAATTATTTATATATTTGTACTGAATAATTGGAAACATCTAATTACATAATTTTAATGATCCATTTTTAGTTTTCGAATGTTTGACTTACTTTAAAATTACCAAATACGGTATTCAAACGACGTGTATTGTTAGCATTCAATCGATTATTTGTAGGAGAAATAGAATTATTCACATTATGTTGATCATCGCCTTTATGTATAATAATAAAAGGATAGAAGAGAATGAGAAAAGAGTAAAGAAAGGTTACAATCACAACTCATATGAAATCGATATGAATGAATTAGACATGACTAAATAAAGGAAAAATCTGGACAATTGAAAGGATATGGTGGAGATTTGTTTGATTTGTAAGTTATATTCATCACAGATTGATTTCAGCTTGGGTAGCACTGTAAACCGATAATCACTGAACAGATATTTAGTCCCAGTACAAGAATCCACGTAAATGAACACCCACAATCCCAGCAGGGATCTGAATCAGTGACTGTAGTGGTTAAGCAATAGCCACAAGACATGAAGGTCCTTAGTCCGACCTTTGGCGGGGTTGTGGGTTCGCATTGTTGACGAGTCCTACATTGGGATGAAACATCTGTCCAGTGCAATTTGGTTCTCAATGGTTCCTCACAATAGGACGAAACGGCCATCCAGTGCTTCCAGGTTTTTCATGGTGGTCTAGCTTCAACTGAATCATGATCCCAACCATTGAAAAATCCATCAGATAACTTTAGATTCTCTACATTTTTCTTCTCTGTTTATTTTATTCATTGGAATTGCCTTTGAATATTTCAATTGGTTTTCTGCTTCTCTAGGATTATAGTTTGTATTTTGCTCACCACTGATACTATTAAAAATCGAATTAATCAAGCCTTCTCTTTGCAAATAGGCTATAAGTTGATTACATGTTGAACAGTAGCTGGCAGTGGAATTAAGAAACATCATAGGCATTGAACATATTGATGACTATTGTAATATAGTAGCCTAGAGGATAACACTTAAGTTTTATTTTTAACCAATCATAATCCGATTCAAATTTCAATGTGAACACAACAGAACTCATTCGAATGCAAGTACATTCCAGCTGATGAGTCATGAATAGGACAAAATGTAACAATTAGTTATAGAGAATGACCTAACGTGACCTAAATAAAACAAACAAGTTAAGCAATGCGCCAATTTCCCATAAAAAACTTAGATGAGACAAGGCTTTGCAGTTAACTATTTCTAACTATTCAGCATTCATTAAAATTTTAATACGTGAATAATACTAAAATATAAACAATTACCTGAAATGTTATTTATTTGATTATCATTAATATGGTTTATTTGTTGTAAAGGTGATCGTATCTGTGCAGAACTTTTCATTTGATGCTTTAAATTATTACTCAGAATTGTATCTAATGCATGACTTAGAATTAAATAGATAAGATTATTATTATTATTTGTAGTAGTAGTAGTAGTAAGATTATTATTGTCACCATCATGTGTAGAAGTACAAGAATCTTTTACCCATGTCAATAAATGTACTGGTAGACGATCAAGATTTTTAGTCACAAAGCCTGATACAGAGTATGTAACAGATCCACCATAATGTTTCACAATGAAACGATCACATGCTGATTTTGAATAAGTTTTAAATTTTGACGGAGATGGTGTAGTAATTGGTTGTTTATTGATTACATAACAAGATGTTGGTTGTGTATGTTTCTTAGTATTGGTCATACGGGGTGATCGAACAATCTGTTCTGAAAGTAGTTATTTTTAAAAAAAAAGACAATAAGGTGGAGTGAATACACCATTTCCTTCAAAATCACACAATATCACTTACAATTGGTTAACCACTGGGTAGTGATTAATGTTAAGTGTGTCAGATCCACTTTCATGCAGATCGAATTCTACACACTAAGTTGTAACGCGGCCACTAGTCTAGATGACTGGACATCGTGTGCTCTGTGTTGAGATGAGATGGTGGTTGGAGGTAGCCGACACACATTCGACATTGATCACAACCCAGTGATATCTTCTGGTAGGTAGTTAATTGCTCAAGGGAACAATTCTCGAGCATTTGACCTAAAGATCCAGTTGAGCAAAGTTACGAGATGCAGTATCATGGTAACCAATGACCGAGATAGAAACATACATTATTTGTTGTGGATTTCATAACAAAAAATGTGTAGCCATATGGAAGCATTTTCGAAGAAAGAATAAATAAGAAGGAAGATTTTCTGAAATTACATTCTCTGAACTAAATGATTTAATAGTGAAGTCCACATTATATTCTTAGACAAACATTCACATAAAGTCAGATATTAAAATTTCTTTATAACCGACTAATAGTTTATAATGTTCAATATTGAACTTGATTAGTTATTTCGATAGCGAGAGCGGACTCTTCCCACCCTCGACCGTACCAGGGCTAACTACTATTATTTGTAGATTTACACTAAAAATAACTATTAGTATGTTAATGAAATATCTGCCATCTATTATACTTGATTTCTAGTATATTTTATACGAAATATTATTGTACGTAAGGTGAAGACAACTAGTGTAATAGAAACCTCTGCAATAGTAGGCCTCACAACATACTACAAGGGAAAAAGCATGATACTCAAATACAACACAGAGAACATCAACCCAATTACACTGCGCCGAGAGTTGAAACTAAACAACAAAAAGATTACCCAGGATAGAATTCAATGGAGAATGGTAATTGGGGGGGGCCTATGCTTCTCCGTGAGGGGTAACAAGCGTAAATAAGTAAATAAAAAGAATTGGATAAACTTTGAATGGAAATTAAGTAAATTTACGACACACAAAAAATATTTTAATTCTTAACAAACAATTAACAGAATATAAATATTGAAAAGTATATATTCAAGAAAAGAAAAATTACCATCATATAAACAATAAATTGAACTATTGGGTATGGTAAACACTGATTGCATTTTATTAATCCAATCTAATTCACGTGGATCTAATAGTTGATTAGAAGATGTAGTTGAAGATAATTTCATGGAAGAATTCACATTGTGAACACGATTTAAAAGACAAACCTATAAAAAAAAAGAAGAGAGAAACGCTTATTTTATTAATAAACAACCATAGAAAATAAGGGGGGGGGAAGTATTGGTAATATTGGGGATTTCAAAAAATTGTTGGATTATATAGTTTACATAATTGATAAGCATTAATCATGTTAACTATTGAAAAAACAAGAGGCAATGAGCAGCTATTTCTTCCTAGCATGGTCCTCTTTAGCAATATTATGAATTAATTGAAGTTAGAAAGTCGAATCATTGAATGTAGATTGAGTGGTCTCAAAATTAACCGTTCCCTGTAAAACTTAAAAGTGCCGAGTTTAATCTCCAATGAGGTCATAGCGTGGTATGTGCTACTTATGTTGACATAAGTAGTATATGATGTTAGTCGTGAACAGAATGTCTGGCAGCAGAGAGACGAGAAGATTGAACGGTAAAGAATGCAATTTGTATGAAAATGCAAGAACAAAGGAAGTCTGAGTCATTTGAGACAATTGATTGACATTTTGCAAATTGAGCATTTACGATATGGTTGTTAGATTTTACTAACTAGTTCTGTAATTTGTTGTCAAGTACATTCGATTGTTCCCACTGGTGTTCTTGTTTACTACAGTAGTTGCTGAATCATATATTAAGACATATGTCTGGTGCCTGAAATGATTATTTTTTTCATTTTCATTCACTCATACAATTTAACTACGTTTATTTCCGGCTAAAATAAAAATATCGTATTTTGGTGTTTTGTTCTATGAGCTAGATGGTTTGGTAGTGGAGATTTCATCGTTCATCTGAACGATCTGATCAGCTCCACGACCAGACCATGCAGCTCAGCGAACAAAACTCCATCAAAATCATTTAACTCAGCTGCAAATCTTCTTCACCGTCTTATGAGGCGAAATGATGTGTTTATATCAGCACAGAATTTTTTAATACACCAACCTCAATTGATAAACCACCTTTCTCCATTGTTCCATTCAAGCAGTGGGGTTAGGCAGGGTTGCCCAATATCACCATCCCTCTTCCACTTTGCCATCAATGATGACATTCTGGAAACAGCTCTGACGGATGTAAGTAATGGCGGTGTGGATCTGTTACCTGGAGAAAGACTTCTCGACCTTGAGTATGCAGATGATATTGTCTTACTGTGTGAGAACGGCCAAGCCCTGCAATTCGCACTTAATCAGTTGGCAATCAATGTCCGTAAGTATGGTATATGCTTCGCACCTTCGAAGTGCAAAGTACTTCAACAAGACTGGCAGGATTCTAATCCTGTACTCACTTTGGATGGTGAGCAGATAGAAGGAGTCGAGAAGTTCATGTATCTAGGTAGCTGCATGAGTGCTGGTGATGGCGTGAGTGATGAGATCAATGCACGTATAGTGAAAGCCAGAGCGACTTATGCCAATCTGGGCTATCTTTGGCACCTTCGTGATGTCAGTCTGGCCGTAAAAGCTCGGATCTACAACGCATCGGTTAGAGCAGTTCTGCTCTTTGCTTGTGAAACCTGGCCTCTCCGAGTTGAGGATGTTAGATGACTCTCTGTGTTCTATCATCGTTGTCTCCGAAGGATTGCTGACATCCAGTGGCAACACCATGTTAGTAATGCAGAGGTTCGGCATCGTATGTTCAGGTGCAGAGACGATAATACGATTGATGTCACCATCTTGAAACACCGACTTCGGTGGCTTGGACATGTTCTACGAATGTCGTCCCAGAGAATTCCAAGTCGTGCATTATTTGCCGACTGTGGGACAGGTTGGAAGAAGCGGAGAGGTGGTCAGTACATGACATGGTTTCATGGTCTGAAGGAAAGCTGCAAAGGGCTGGCTTGTGTTGGTGGTTCACGACTCCATGGCTGGGGTCCGAGAGATGGTGCAACACAGTGGCTAGAGACGTTATCAGATATGGCTCAGAATAGAAGCCAGTGGCGATCCTGCTGTAAACTTTTACTTTCTTCATAAAAATTGGTTGTATCTTCCTTAACTGTAAGATTTCTTCTGAGTGTACCTTTTCGTCTCCCCCATTATTGTTCTCTCTCTTTTTTTTATAATTCCCTAAGTTCCTTACTTTTTTTTCCTTCTTAAATTCTCATTGTTTTGTGTGGCGCATATATATTTGGTGACCCCTGTACCAATATTTATGTGTTCAAATAAATAAATAAATAATAATAGACGGTTTAGTGTCTCGAAGTTTTACTTCAGAGTAAAAGTGTTCTATGTATTTATGTGACACCTGTTTCGCTAGTAAGTAGTCATATAGCATAGACTGTCTAATGGAAGAACTGAAAAAGCGTTTAGAAGTTCACGTCATTTAACATCGTCCTTGATGTTTATTTGATCCAATCAACTCACGAAATATCTGACAGCTGAGATTTGTCTAAGATCCTTAGACAATACTCATCTACATTAAAATGGTGTTATGCTTTTAAATATATAGTATAGATGCCTTCACTTCAATTCGGGGAGTATTGAGTTAGTAAATAAAATCTTCGGCTTTCGACAAGTACTTTTCGGGTTCAAAGTAGTAACTAGTTGATGTCTGATGATATCTTGGCACGAAATCAGAAAAACTGGGTTAGCCCCTCCCAATTTGTGCTAATTATTGGGTAGGTCAGATGTTCATCTGTCAACCAAAGGCCGTATATACTGTACAGAAGTCCGTTCCGTATTACTTTATGTCTGTGAAACATGATTTTTGAGAGCAAATATTATGATTAGGCTACATGTTTTTGATCACTGATGCCTTTAAAGCGTTTCTTGAATCACATGGTACTACCGAGTGATTAATGTTAATGATAACTTTCTTACTATTCGAGATACATTAAAATCAAATTTGTCGCCAATCAGATTATTTTTATTATTATTTTATTTGAACACATAGATATTGGTACAAGGAGACACCAAATACATATGCGCCACACGAATCTCAATTGATTTGTGTGACGGCTGTGGTACTGCTCGGGTGCCCAAACAGAAGCAGGTGGTTTTCTTAAGGGACCACACCCGGAGCCTTCGATCTGAACGTCTGATCCACAAGGCAGTGGAGCAACGTCAAAAGATGCAGTCTTATGGTAATCGGTGACCAACGATAGATTCATACGCCATTTGCTTCTTCAGGATACTGGAGCCCTTGTGCATCATTGGTTTGGAATCAAGGTTTTCCAACTCCCATAGGTGGACTCTCCGTATTCACCAATCGGGTTAGAGCGCCAAACATTCGCATTTTGTCCTCTCAATTTTGTAAACAACAACCCCGCGACAAGAAGGCATTGAGTAGGACTTCTCTGGCAGAGGCTATATACGTGTGGCCATGTGAGAGTATTTCGAGGAGAGCTGACTCTCTCCACTCTCGGCCATACCAGGGCATTTGGTGGCCAATCAGATTACCAACAGTTGCACTGGTATAATTTATTCCATATAAACATAATTAATCATTTTGATGAGGTTCATACTTTCCTTATATCAACTAACTATTACTAATAACAAAACTGAGTTTGCTAAACTGTGTGTTTTACAATTAACTCAATTTATAAAACGTGTTAATTAGCATAAGAACAAATAAAACAATGTACATACTTCTTCTAATAAATTGGCATTTGTTTCTATCGCTTTCACAGTATGTGTATTATAACATTTTTCCAATGATGAATCTAACCGGGGTTTGTATTCATCAATATTTCTATCAGTAATAGTCATATTAGTAGGATTGGTAACATTGGTGGTGGTGGTGGTAGTATCAGTTGGCAATAAATTATCTACAGATTGAAAAGATAATCCTTCCTCTTCTAATTCCACCCATGCATTCGTAACAGCAATACGCATAAACGTTTGATGTAAACGTTCATTGGCATAATTAATACAATACTGTTCGAAACTATTTACATCTAAGCATTCAAAACCGAATAGATCAAGGATACCTGAGAAAACAGATATATATATATCAGCACAACGAGAAAATTAATATGAGAGAAATGTAAGGAGAAGAGAATTCATTTCAATAAGGGCGAAATCCTAAAAGAACACAAAATATTTCACAAAGAACACATGGGATTGAAGAATAAGACGTTAGGAATAAAAGAAGATAGAGAACACAATCCAATTCTTTGTAGACGTTTCCTCTAAAAGATTTTGGATTACTTTGTGTAATTTAATAACTACAGATGTACAGGGCGCAGTCACTCAATTCAGAGCTGTCGAGCTGATCTACTCTATTTATTTTATTATTATTTTATTTATTTGAACACATAAATATTGGTACAAGGAGACACCAAATACATATGCGCCACAAAAATGTTCATTTTATCTGTGTGTGGGTTGTGATACTGCCCCGGGTGCCCAAACCGGAGCAGGTGGTTTTCTTAAGGGACCACACCCGGAGCCTTTGACCTACAGGTCTGACCCACAAGGCAGTGGAGCATCGTAAGGAGATGCAGTCCCATGGTAGCCGGTGACTAACGATTGGTTCATACGCCATTTGTTCCTTCAGGAAACTGGAGCCAGCCCATGTGCACCATTGGTTTGGGATCCGGTTAAAGCGCTGAACATTCGCTTTTCGTTCACACTTTGGTAAACACCCCTGCCACGAGAACGCAGTGAGTAGGAATTCCATGGCAGAGGCTGTATACGCGTGGCCATGTGAGAGCATTTCGAGAGGGAGAGCTGACTCTCTCCACTCTCGGCCATACCACGGCATTTGGGGCCTCGTCGAGCAAACAAGGTACGACAACATGATCAAATGCACATTTACATCAAACTCTACGTTGATTATGACTGATATAACAATAATAATAATACCGATAGCAACATACCCAATTCATTAACAACACCTTCAGTATTATCAAAATTCAACTGTTTGTTTATTAACTCGACCATGAAATGAAATAGACTAAAAAGCAAATAATAATGACTAGAAAATTATAAAATTTATAACTGCAACATTACAAACATTAAAAAAGACTAAAAAATCATGTATGACATAATATATCATGGCAAAGCAAAATCTGAAATGATTATAACATGATAGACTTATGGAACAGAAATCGCGCTGTAACCACAATACAATCTTCTTAACAGCCAATAGCAAGAGACATAATTGGTGGTGGTGGTGGTGGAGATTTATAGCTCAAGTGAATAATTTAGGTGGAGTTTTGTCCTATGGGTTGAATGGTTTGGTCATGGAGCTTTCATCGTCTATCTGAACGACCTGATCAGCTCCACGACCAAATCAACTAGTTCAGAGAACGAAACTCCACCTAGATATTATTTGTTTTCGGTAAACTGTTCAAATTACCAATGAACTAGTCAAAATGATAAGTGAATGGTTAAGTAATATCTGTATTAATTTTTTAAGTGTTACACTAGAATAATGAGAAGTAAAACTAAGAATAAATATATACTAATTACGGTTTGATTCCGTTGCTTAGTCATAGATAATATAGAAATTGGAGTCAATGTCTACTGGGATGTGTACATCATTAGAAGATTTCGGTCGACATTCATTTCCCGGCAAATATAAATCGCTGGCACCCCTTTATAAAAAAGGTAGGGTGTGAATTGAAAATTTAGGTATCTGTGATTGGTGTACTTGTTTTGCAAGTGTGTACTCAAGTGAAAATGAACCAAAAATTTGTCACCTTTAATAATTTTGTAATTGGTCGTAAACTCTTAATCTTTGCAATTTGATTAGTTGAAATCGAAATAGGATCAAGTGCTTTGATTGGAAGTCAAAAATTGCATTTTTATATTTGAAATGTAATAATAATGAAAAATTTATTTGTGTAAAGGTAATCTTAAAAACAATTTATACTTTTCAAGAAGAAAACACCAACTGAAATCGTAGTGTTAGTGAATGTGTATTGAGATAAATGTTTGATATCCGATCAAGTGATTTAATGTCAACCTTCAATTGAAGTTGTTAGTTATGTTGCCACTAATACTGATATGTATAACGTTAACAGAAAGTTTAGGGAAAAAGAGGAACTGAAAAGCGGTTTGAATATTTGATAAGAGTGATTGATGAATTATGTTGGTAGTCTAATGTTGAATACGCAATTAATGAACAAATTATTACAGAAGTGGTAAGAATGTTTCCAAAATAGGTACTTAATATTTAGTAAACGTTGAATTTGTAAATGGGCAATCTTAGTGAGAAATAGAAAACGTTAGAAATCAATGCGGTCAATTTTAAAATCCATTTAAATGGTTTATTGTTTTATCGGTCGTAATAGAAGCTGGTGTGTTTAATCAGTCATTTATGAATATTGTTAAGCGTAATAAGAAAGCTTCAATATCTATACATTATGAATGTAACCATTTTTTGACAAACATTTGAAATGTCAGTTTAATAAGCTGTAAATAAACAAGCCTACGTCGTCTGACTGAACAAATGTTTAGCTACATTAAATGTAAAAATATGAATAAGGTCTATTGCATCAATGAACATGTGAAATATTATTATAATGTATTGTCCGTATTGCCGTTATTATTAATATTATTATTACGTCCATTGACACGATGAAATTCGCAAATTGTGCCTTTTTTGACAGAACATTTGTTGCGTTTTCAATATTCCCATAATCCTGTTACACCTATTGTGACTGAACACTTAACTGCAAATCAGGCTGACCTTAGTAATTTGCATAAATTATAATTAGTATATATATATATATATATATATATATATATATATATATATATATATATATATATGCAAACGTTCAGCATTGTTAACCTATTACATTGTCAAAATTATAAATGCCGTGCATTATTTATGACCTTAATTAAATCTAAGAATTATGGACTTTAAACTGTATAGTATGATAAGGAAGTTATTTAAAAGGATTGTTCGATAATTTATTTTATTTTATAGGTGTGTAAGTGAATACGGTTTTGTAATCAATATACTACGCATAACAATGAATGCGTAGTTGACAATCAGACGTACGCATCATTCTACTTTAATGGACTTTTATTTCAGTGATTACCGTTTAACCTTTTTTATAACGTCGTTATTTTATTCATAAATAAGATAATGTTCTCAATTGTGTTTACTTTTCTATGAGCTTTAATCTCATTGATCCTTGTTATCATCTACTTATTATATTCACTAATTCGAAATTTATTGACCTTTGGAAAGAAATCACTATATTGAAATATTCCTCTTAAAAATGTACTATTATTAACTAGTTACTAATACGTGAACGGTAATCACATTATTTTAAATTTAAGATGACTAGATTAGTGTTCATTAGATGACAAAATGTTGTCTAACTTTTCTTAACCTTTATATCTAATAAACGTTAGAAATAAGTTTACAAATCATAAACGATAATCCCATTAGACATTAATATCGATTATTAATCTCTAAAGGGATATCTTAATCACTTGACCTTGGAAAAGATGCGAAAAACAGAAATAATGTAAATCAAATTGTGGGTGGCCCTGGAAAGGGCCTTTATTCGTTTTGGATTTAGTTGGTAATGGCACCGCACATAGGACAATGAACTGCTCGGATGTTCAGTGATGGGTCGAAGGCACAGAAGGTATGAAACATAGCGTCACATCTACAGAAAATCCAATCAACCGTATCATTTGTTTCACAAGGCGACTGCGCTAGATTACAGATATCGCATAGTCTATCCTCTTCATCCTCTTCTTCACTTTGGATGTCCCGTTCAGTTAACTCTTCAGAGTTGATACTATATATTTCCTCCTCAGGTTGACTGAGCGTATCATCTAAATCAACAGGTCTTCCTTGAATAAACGGTTGTGTAACGTGTGTCGACGTTGTTGGCTGGGCGTACAAATCAAACGATGTTGTTAATAGTCCACCGTGTACTAGGAAGCGATGAAGTGAAGTGATTTGTTCGTCAGACATTCGCCTGACTATATCTCGAACTTCATTCCTCAAGTTCGGCTGACTCAATTGCACTGGGATATAATTCTCAACTGCGATATGAGTCAAATAAGCATCGCAGTGTAACCACCGGTCACAAATAGACAGTACATTCACATCAGTATTACTTTGTGCGTAGTAAGCCAATATGTGACGGCATGGTAAACCGTTTTCAATGAAGAATGGACACGAGCAAAGGCTAGTATCGACGTGTACACAGTACGTTCCCGTGGCGTCCGTTGCCGTGAATGATTCTCCTGACAATACAGACTGCGTAATAGGAATGCGCAGGTGTCGCTTCAGTAGTTGACAGGCAGCTGGTGTGAGTCGTTCCTGAAGTCGACCAATGTCCGCTTTCCTACGACAATCCGTCGAATATTTCTGTAATCTTGCTTCCATCCACTATCCAGTCCGAAGCAGCACACTAAAAATCGATCTGAGCACGGGTGTTTTACGATTAAGATTATACATCTTCAACACTCTGTGACTCGTCTCTACGAAGTTTGTATTATTCAGTTGGAAAAGCGTTGCTTGCGGTCGGAAAGCACTCGCCCATTTGTGCTTCCTTGGTAGAAGGTGTTCTCTGACGTATCTACCAAACGTTCCATCAGACAGTTCAATTATGGAAAGCACGTTGTTAAAACTGAAATATAATGTTATGCAAACTTTGATTTACCTTTCAACTGTTCGAGTCACCATAAGACGAAAGAACAGCTGCAGAATTTCTGATCCAACCCTCTACATAAACGGTTAATGAGATAATGTTAATGAACTGTCCACTTACCTTCTTTATCACATTCCTAACTAGGTGTACGCGGCACAGAATATGGTGGGCATTGGGAAACACATGCGTGATAGCAGAAGCTATTGCAGGTGAGTCATCGGTCACTATGCCTACCACGTGTCGATTGTTGGTACACCGTTGGAAAAAACGCAGGAAGGTAGAAATTAACGTTGACGTTTCATTACTTAAAAAGGCAATGCAGATGGGTATTGCCTTAAAATTCATGTCAAGTGCAACTATTTGATATAAATGGACGTTCTGGTCATTGGTTTTGTACGTCCCGTCAAAACCAATAACGTTACTGAAGTAACCAGCCCAATTCAATTGCTCGGCAGTCATGAAGAAAAAATACGATAGACAGTTCTCTTCGTCTAATTCGTATGCGCACAGCCCACCCAAGGATATTATGTGAGCTTGTAATTTGCCGTAATCACCTATGGGGTACATTATAATTTGGCAAATTGCTTACCTGGTAGGTTCGCGTTTGAGAACACTTTATACCGCATATTACAGATGTCCTGATCAGTCAGTCGTTTACCATATGATTGGTAAACAAAATTCTTGACGTGGAATGCTGCTGTACCAGATATCAGCAGCGGTTTAACAGCTTCAAGCTCACCATCCGTTAACCTACGCACCCATGAATTACCTTCGTACCTGAGGGAACTGCACTCGTGATTGTGACGCACATTCCCACGTACGACAGTCCAGATGCCGTCTACTATCTTACAAAATATGAAAGCCGGACATTGTGTGTTCATGGAAGCGCTTCGTGAAACAAATTATAATAACAAGAACCAATTTACCTCCTCCTTCTAATACGCTGTGACGAACCGCTAGATCTTATACGCACGTTCCTCCAACACACAAATTTTATATAAGAATTTTGATCTCGACTAATATGCGAATCTCGCACGACATAATTACTGTAGCTCGACCTTTCATAATTAATGATAGCCGTCTTCAACGCTTCAATCGATGGAAAGGCAACCAGAAACAAGGTTGTTAATAACACTTCATCTAGTTCCGTTACGTGAGAAACAACAGCGCTTGTACTTGGAACGTTACTGTCCTTCATAATGACGTTTAAAATGTACATCGTCTGCATGTACTGATAATTTATAACAACTTTCCAGACATAACTAACCAATTACATAGAAGTTTTAAAACTACCCATTTCATGGGACGAAACAGGGGATGAAAAGTCTTGTAATTTTGGGGTGGAAAAATTTTTTCAGGGGGGTGGGGGACATTTGAAAAAAATTGCCGGTGGGATAAGATAATTCGACATTTAGCTAATAGCTATGTCGACTCAGTAGCTCAGTGTTTAACGAGTTGACGTTTGAAGTGAAAGGTACTGAGGTTCAACTCTTAGCGTGAACAACGACACTGAGATGCAGGTACATCCGGCTGGTATGTGCAAAACAGGACGAAGCAGAATTATCTTATCCCACCGGCAATTTTTTTCAAATGTCCCCCACCCCCCTGAAAAAATTTTTCCACCCCAAAATTACAAGACTTTTCATCCCCTGTTTCGTCCCATGAAATGGGTAGTTTTAAAACTTCTATGTAATTGGTTAGTTATGTCTGGAAAGTTGTTATAAATTATCAGTACATGCAGACGATGTACATTTTAAACGTCATTATGAAGGACAGTAACGTTCCAAGTACAAGCGCTGTTGTTTCTCACGTAACGGAACTAGATGAAGTGTTATTAACAACCTTGTTTCTGGTTGCCTTTCCATCGATTGAAGCGTTGAAGACGGCTATCATTAATTATGAAAGGTCGAGCTACAGTAATTATGTCGTGCGAGATTCGCATATTAGTCGAGATCAAAATTCTTATATAAAATTTGTGTGTTGGAGGAACGTGCGTATAAGATCTAGCGGTTCGTCACAGCGTATTAGAAGGAGGAGGTAAATTGGTTCTTGTTATTATAATTTGTTTCACGAAGCGCTTCCATGAACACACAATGTCCGGCTTTCATATTTTGTAAGATAGTAGACGGCATCTGGACTGTCGTACGTGGGAATGTGCGTCACAATCACGAGTGCAGTTCCCTCAGGTACGAAGGTAATTCATGGGTGCGTAGGTTAACGGATGGTGAGCTTGAAGCTGTTAAACCGCTGCTGATATCTGGTACAGCAGCATTCCACGTCAAGAATTTTGTTTACCAATCATATGGTAAACGACTGACTGATCAGGACATCTGTAATATGCGGTATAAAGTGTTCTCAAACGCGAACCTACCAGGTAAGCAATTTGCCAAATTATAATGTACCCCATAGGTGATTACGGCAAATTACAAGCTCACATAATATCCTTGGGTGGGCTGTGCGCATACGAATTAGACGAAGAGAACTGTCTATCGTATTTTTTCTTCATGACTGCCGAGCAATTGAATTGGGCTGGTTACTTCAGTAACGTTATTGGTTTTGACGGGACGTACAAAACCAATGACCAGAACGTCCATTTATATCAAATAGTTGCACTTGACATGAATTTTAAGGCAATACCCATCTGCATTGCCTTTTTAAGTAATGAAACGTCAACGTTAATTTCTACCTTCCTGCGTTTTTTCCAACGGTGTACCAACAATCGACACGTGGTAGGCATAGTGACCGATGACTCACCTGCAATAGCTTCTGCTATCACGCATGTGTTTCCCAATGCCCACCATATTCTGTGCCGCGTACACCTAGTTAGGAATGTGATAAAGAAGGTAAGTGGACAGTTCATTAACATTATCTCATTAACCGTTTATGTAGAGGGTTGGATCAGAAATTCTGCAGCTGTTCTTTCGTCTTATGGTGACTCGAACAGTTGAAAGGTAAATCAAAGTTTGCATAACATTATATTTCAGTTTTAACAACGTGCTTTCCATAATTGAACTGTCTGATGGAACGTTTGGTAGATACGTCAGAGAACACCTTCTACCAAGGAAGCACAAATGGGCGAGTGCTTTCCGACCGCAAGCAACGCTTTTCCAACTGAATAATACAAACTTCGTAGAGACGAGTCACAGAGTGTTGAAGATGTATAATCTTAATCGTAAAACACCCGTGCTCAGATCGATTTTTAGTGTGCTGCTTCGGACTGGATAGTGGATGGAAGCAAGATTACAGAAATATTCGACGGATTGTCGTAGGAAAGCGGACATTGGTCGACTTCAGGAACGACTCACACCAGCTGCCTGTCAACTACTGAAGCGACACCTGCGCATTCCTATTACGCAGTCTGTATTGTCAGGAGAATCATTCACGGCAACGGACGCCACGGGAACGTACTGTGTACACGTCGATACTAGCCTTTGCTCGTGTCCATTCTTCATTGAAAACGGTTTACCATGCCGTCACATATTGGCTTACTACGCACAAAGTAATACTGATGTGAATGTACTGTCTATTTGTGACCGGTGGTTACACTGCGATGCTTATTTGACTCATATCGCAGTTGAGAATTATATCCCAGTGCAATTGAGTCAGCCGAACTTGAGGAATGAAGTTCGAGATATAGTCAGGCGAATGTCTGACGAACAAATCACTTCACTTCATCGCTTCCTAGTACACGGTGGACTATTAACAACATCGTTTGATTTGTACGCCCAGCCAACAACGTCGACACACGTTACACAACCGTTTATTCAAGGAAGACCTGTTGATTTAGATGATACGCTCAGTCAACCTGAGGAGGAAATATATAGTATCAACTCTGAAGAGTTAACTGAACGGGACATCCAAAGTGAAGAAGAGGATGAAGAGGATAGACTATGCGATATCTGTAATCTTGCGCATAAGTACTGGATCCCACTGATAACTAAAATCTAACTTTAATTAAAACCACAAATTATTTCGGTAAGAACAGAACATATGAACGTGTACATGGTGAATGAATGAGTCACATTTTATTCAATTCAAACTTAAGATTTAAGGGAAGATTAAGAGTGAATGCGATTGGGTCGCTGTGATCGGAATTAGTCATTTCACGTAAAGTTTCTAGCCATAGTTTAAGACTGGCAAAGGCTCCAACCAGGAAGTTGTCATATCCGTACACGGTTTAGATTAACAGTCAAAACCTTCAAGTACTGATGTTACCTCACGATTTAGCCACTTTTCTTTATATTACTCACTAAGGATTGATTCGAAAAAGGAGATAGTAAGTCATATGCAACTATCCAGAGAACATAAGGCCATCAAATTTGAAGCAAATAAATACACTAACCTATTGTATAAAGCTTTTACAAAACAATCACGTTGTTCTCGAGCTTGAGAAACTGTACACGCACATTTATAAGTTGTCGCTCGTCTGGATTGATGTGAGTTGGAACCAGCTTGAACAAGACGTGTTATAAATTGTTGTGGAAAACTATGAAGCAATTCACCGTCTGGAATACCTAAGAGTTTACCGGCCATTGTAACTGTACATAGAAAATAAAAATGTGATGATTTGAAAAGATATTTGTGAATATATTATAAAATGTAGAAAGTACGGGTGTAAAAACTGCCGTATAAATACGTGACTATTGTTTTTTACACATATGTCCCAATACCTAATCAGGTGCTCACCAACTGAAATATTAGATGAGCTATACACGTTTTACGAATGTCGTCCAACTAACTTTCGCACATAGCCTTATTTGTCGACACTGAAATAAGGTGGAAAAAAGGCAGAGGTTGTTTTTTTCTGAGATGGAACTGTCGTATAAAGTCATTTTGGTCCATAAAGACCTCGTGGTTTAGTTCCTGGTGTTTAATAGACACAGCTCAGAATAGAAGCCAGTAGTAACCTTATTGTACGTTTCAGTCAACTTCTGTATAAACGTAAAATTCAATTTCTTAACTGGAAGAAACCTATTTTAGTCATATTTCTAATTGGAATGTCTTTTGTAAAGGATTGTTTTGGTTCATTTATTAAATGATTATGTACGACATTACCCCATTCTACTTGTTTATGCAATACAATTATTCTATTGTGTGTCTCAGCTTTTTGATATTCCGTTGTATCCAATTACTTTGATTGTAAATAAATAAAACGGACAATCAAATTTTTTTCAGCTTCTACAACTATAGATCCAAATTAATATTCTGAAAAGTGATTTACTTATTTATTGAAACAAATAAATATTCGTACAAAGGGGCACCAAATACATATGCGCCACACAAATCTCATTTGATTTGTTTAAGAGCTGTGATACTGCCCCGGTACACAAACCAAAGCAGGTGGTTCTCATAGACGGCCACACCCGGAGCCATCGACATAAAGGTTTAATTCACAAACCCATGGAACAACTTTAGGGAATGAAGTCCCAAGGTAACCGGTGACCAACGATTGGTTCATACGCCATTTGTTCCCGCAGGATACTGGAGCCCATGTACATCGTTCGTTTGGATCCGGTTAAAGCGCTGAACATTCACTTTTCGTCCTCTCATTTCCATAAACAACACCCGTGGTGCGAGAAGGCAGTGAGTAGGACTTCCCTGGCAGAGGCTGTATACGCGTGGCCGTGTGAGAGCATTTCGAGAGGGAGGGCGAACCCACCCCACTTTCGGCCATACCAGGGCGTAAGTTTATATGTTAAATGATGGGTAATTACATCATTATTTCTATTTCACCCTATCTTATAATGACGGTTACAAATGAAAATAATTAATTTTCACTTTGTGTGGTGCTTTCTTTTAATAAGATATTTTTCTTGTTATAAATAAATAAAAATGATATGCAACTTACTTTTCTGTATATCATCGATAGAAATAGTGGCTAAACTGGCAGGATCATCTGAATACTGACGTTCTTGATGTTGGTGACGATAATTTTGTTGATCATTCAATTTTGATGAATGACATGGTGAGTTAGACGGTAGACATGATGAATTTATTTGACTTAAGTTAATATTTACACAAGACTCCGAAGAAATGAAATGTACATTATTCAATAGTAAAATTACACTTAGTAATTTATAAAATTCAAACAATTTTTCATCTTTAATATTTAATGATTGAAATGCTTCAAGTAAGCAAGACCAATTGGAATGTGACTTTTGTAACACAAAATCATCACGACCATCATTATCATTTATTAAATAATGACAATCAATCAAACCAAATTGTATTCGATCTTCTTTTGATAGAGATTCCAAAAACTGAACAGTTGAAAAATATTTGGTGAAATAGAAAAAGCAATAATAAATGAATAATTAATACTAATCTTAACTACTAAATGTAATACAAAATTACACTGGTTCGAATTGTTACATCACATTACACAACAGAGTGAGATTAATGGTCTAAATTACGGATTGATAAGAGCTACACAGTCACAGAAAATTAGAAAGCATTGGACGGTTGTTTTGTTTTAGTGCGTGACTCCTCAGAAGTGAGTGTTCACAACCCCCACCACCGGGGATCGAGTTCAGAAAACGTTTTGAACGCTTTATCTTTAGATTATTGAGTTGACATTCAATGGTTTACGTTTCTAACTTCAATTAACAATTAGCAAAGATCTTATAATCCCATTGATGGGCGACTGTTTCACGCCCAACATCATTGAACTCCAGTGGTCAAGACTGCTGAGGAAATTCATGGTAGGAAATGACAGGTGTCTAGTGCTTCTTAATTTTCAATGGTTTTCTAACCAAAATCAATTTCGAAGCAAACTATAAAGTCAGCAATCTTAACAATACCACAATAGTAAAATTAGATTAACAAGATGAGTGAGAAAAGACATTAAATAGCATTAGTAGTACAAATTAAGGCCCAAATGGAAGCTAAACACTGAGAATATAGTCTGAGATATAAACGAGTGGAATCAAGGATCAAAAAGTATGCAACAGCAATAAGTATAAAGATTCAGAAAAAATGTAAAATGAAGACATTTACATTACTGCTATCGAATTCAGGTCACATAACTTCTACATCTTTGTCAGCACTCATACTAACGACCAACGACTTGATAGATTAATCCTGTCTTATTTCGACAGCCAACCACCTTCCTCGAACCTGCCCTACACTAATCATATAAACACGTATGGATGAGTAGTGGCTAGGAGGACACGACACATAACCCAATTATATCAAGTCCACGAAAATTCTTACTCATGATTTGAATAACTATTTCTATCTGTTGATAAAGGCCTAACATCACAATTGCTCAATTCAAGGTTTTGTTACACATGACCAAAGTTTCAAAGGCACCTGTAACTGAATACCAATAATAACCTACAAACATACTCCGTAGATTCTCAGACCTTCCATTTAGATTAAAACTACCATAAACTAAATTAACCGGAAGAAAATTCACACCTACATGATAAAGGTTGAAACATAGACCTGGAAGAATTTATCGATAGTTAAAGACTCAAAAATATAAACTGCTGTATTCGTATTTTAGTGTTTAGGTTGATAGTATGAAGCTATGACAAAAGAAAGAAAAGTGGGATAGTAAGAGAGGGAATCTAAGCTGTAAATGAGTAAATAAGTAGTTGAATAATTGTGTGGACACTGAGCATGTATTTTAATTAGTACTGGTGGAAGGATAAATGAGTGGTTGATTTTTACGACTGGGTTACAACTACTCAGGAAAACCAACTTAGTGATACGAAAGCCTCAACTGAGTTGACAATTAGACTGACCATGATTTGGTTGATTTTGAATTCCAAACGGTTGGGGTGGGAAAACTCAATGATTGTTGATAATCGGTAGGTCACAGTACTCTGATTTTATCAGACCAATTTTGCAAAAGTAACTCTAACTGTTGAAGATGATGAACAGTTTGTCGGATACTGGTGAGAAATAGTGATGCTGCTTGATAGCGCACTGTGAAATTCGGAAGATGCATCAACAGAGATGAGTAAATCACAGTATTTTTGTTTGAAATAGTTGGGTCTGCTCGAATCAAGTATGACAAAAGTGAAAACACCTTGATATTTTAGATGCTGGCGCTTTATTTTGACCTGAAGTAATGAGTGGGATACCGATCTTATTAAATGAAACACTGATTTTGCATCGGTCGACTTTTCTAATTAGTGCAGATAATCCGCTACTGTCTTCAAGCATCTACAGCACTAAATAACAACATTATAGTTATTACTCACCCGTTATTTGGCTGAGTATATATTGAGGTTATACTGTGAGTTGGCAGACCGTATAACCAAGTTTAAATTCAAAACAAACTTGTTTGTTGAATACAGAATTTACATTTGGCTATCTAGTAACTGATTATCAAATACACTTTGTGTGAATATTACGTGAACAAAACACACTAATTGGCTGACAGACTTCGATTTGCACTACAGAAAGATGTAGAGTTGTTAATCAATAGTAAAAATAATCAACTATCGACTACAACTGGTTTAGACCTCTTGTTAACAGCCTCAACTTGATCCGTCAGCCAGTCATAGGTAACGTAGAATCTGGTACAAATGTGCAGAGGTTCAAGTTGTAACAATATTACTGCAGTGAAATGAAATTACCAACCCTCAACTAAAACGACAAGGCAGTCATATACCACTATAAATAGTAAATTTGACTAATGAACTAGTGATCTGTTAATATTTGCTAATCCTATAGTATGCATCGGTGATCTAGTACACAAATATATGGAACTTTGTTGTTCATTAGTGATCTGGTTTCAATCTGTTCTCAGTAAACAAATGAATAAATAAACAGTTAAACAAAAAACGTGTACTTACCCAACGAAATACATGAAATGATGAGGAAAGCGTTTGAGAAGTGAATACAGCTCTAGGCTTTTCTAAAAGATAAATTTGCAACTTTGCTGCAACGAGAATTTGATTTCTTCACGAATAAAAATGAAAAAGGACATTCGGATTTACAATAGAAATGTACAACTAACCGATCGTACAGAAGGCGTATATATTTGCCAAAACGTGAACTATTTTCATTATATCGAGTTTGAGCATTGCCTTTAAAAAATCGATATTTAGCAAGCAATAATTTGCACAAAACATTTAAACGAATTACCAAGAGCTTCTAACACAGGATTCGATTGTATAAGTGTGTGTTCAATATAAGTTTCAACTATTGCTCTGTTGAAAGTAAAATAAAATTTTAGTTTTTTCTAAATAAGCGTTTAAAAACGACATTACTGAGAATACGAAATTTGCAAAGTATGCTCCGAATATAAACGACATCAAAAGAAGGACCGAACAACTTGTTCCTTCTTAAGTTAGGATTTTTCTCTAGTACACTCACAAGCTAGTATAAGATCGAACACATTACTGTTAGGTCTTAAAGAGGTGGGAATTATAAAGGAAATAAAGTGAATCTACATAATTTTCGTATGATGTTTACAAATGTGTATAGATTAATTCATTGGGTTGATTGTATCATTGCTTTTATCCGTTATAGATACATATATTTTACAAAACTTAGTCAGTATTTGCCTTAATTAACCTTGAAGCATATGTCATGTTATGATTGTTTTTAAACCTCTTCAATGGTTACGCTTAAAAATTTCTACAATAAGCCGTAATATAAACCAATAAATCCATACTTTTTGTCAAATATGACTTCAAACAATAATAGACGATACTCTATGTACTGGTTATAGTACATTGCATGAGTGGGGGGAGCCAGTTAACATATATGAGTTTTTGACTGACAGAAGACTATTCGACCGACTTAACACTAAGTAAAGATGTAGAGAATAATCAGCTTACATTTGTTTCTGACGCTTTATACTACTTTTGTAGGTTAAGTAGCGTAATATATGTTTAGTGGCTTCTGTTTTTCCAGACCCACTTGTGCCCGTAATAATAATCGACTGATTATTTTGTGTCGATGATAACTGATATAAACACTCTTCAGCCATAGAAAAAACGTGTGGCTTTCTCCAACAATCCGGAATCTAAGTAGATTATAACTAATACGAAAATCAAACAAATAACCTCATTAAAGTCATTCCAATTATCACATGAGTAGTTTTGTGGACGGGCGCTTTTTGGATTGATTGATATTAAAATATTGGTTCCAAGCCAGGTGTAAATTTCTGAACGTTCATATTTATTTATCAGACTTTGAACAACTATCTGCAGGTGAATTGAAACCCGAAAAGAACAATCGGTTACCTTCAATCACACTTGGTGTCGACAAATCTAATAGATCAGCCGGTATAATATTCCCAGTCATTAACAAAGACGATTCAGAAAACAAGCTGAAATAGAAAAAGATGACAGTCCTAAATTTGTAAGAAAATTATCACGTCATACTATAAAATCACCACAACATATCAAAGGGTAGAAAGATCATAACATGCTATTAATCCATGAAATTATTGACTCTAGGCCTTACCCATGACCGTAAGGGATGGAATTACTGGCTGAAACCTGTACGGTGCTTATAATTAACGGCTGGAGATGTTGGATTATATGGTGTAAAATTTATCGCAGTGGAGAAGTTCCACTTTCTTTAAACCTTGAGGTGAATCCCATTCCTAAGTAGTTACTGTTTGACCTTATTTGTCTCTTGTTTCCAAATTATCTTATACTTGTCTATTTATTTATTTTAACACATAGATATTGGTACAAGGAGGCACCAAATATGTATGTGCCACACAAATCTCATTTGATATATGTGAGGGCTGTGATACTGTCCGGGTGCCCAAACCGAAGCAGGTGGTTTTTTGGGGGGCCACACCCCGAGCCTTTGATCTGAAGGTCTAACCCACAAAGCAGTGGAGCATTGTGAGATGCAGTCCAATGGTAGCCGGTGACCAACGATTGGTTCATACGCCACTAGTTCCCGCAGGTACTGGAGCCCATTGGTTTTGGATCCAGTTAAATCGCCGGACATACGCTTTTTATCCTCTCATTTTCGTAAACAACACCCCTGCTACGAGAACGCACGGTAGGTTCTTATACTTGTAGTGGCAAATAAATTCCCAAAGTAAATACTTCTGTAAATCTTCAATAGTGATACTGACCTCATTAGTTTCACTGGATACAATCTAGCTCAAGGCGGTCGGTAAAGTATTAGAACCAAATCACGAATGGGTACGCCGAGCTACACATAACTCACATTAACTAACTAGCCTATATCAGACGCTTCTCAACTTTCCAAATATGTATCCGAACTCTGTCTACGTTAATTATCCCGACAGCCTTAGGCTATTTATCGCAATCATTTCTGTATTTCAGTATGTTCATAAAAAATTTATTAGGCATAACGACCATAATGCTTAAGGACAAGACCACACTATACAGTGAGACTAAAATTTACGAATGACCTTTCAGGGATGCTAAAGCGGCCTTGAGAAAATACACTTACTAGGATTCGAAGGGGATAGTGAATTAATGCGAATAAGGGTTAGTATTTTAGAGAAAACCCGAAATTTCCCCTGAATTGTAAAAAAAATTTGGCTTTTATTGTTAAACATAAGCCGATTTCCCCAAAATGTACTAAGATTCTGGGGAAATTTTGGGGGAATGGCACTGAAACTTCGAAATTTACTTAAGCGGCTTCCCGAAAATTCCCCCAAAATAGGTTAAATTTTGCCCAAAATTGGGAGTTTGGGTATAATTCAAAGTTAGGGGTGAAAGTTAAGGTTCTCACCACGAATTGATATTCACTAAAATGCGAAAATCCTATTAGGCCGTACAGATGAATGGACTCTTGGTCAAAATCTAAAACTTACAATATTTGGTCTCATTGTTCTGTCCATACACAAGCGAAGTGTGAGCCAAAGACTGGCAAAGAGAGCTAAATTTTAGTAAGGAAAGCAATTGACTACAATCTGCAGCAACGTAGAAGCAAAACTAAGACAATCTGACAATCGGAACTAGATGATAGAGTACAGTTTAGAGCCCGTTAGATTGATGCAGCCTAAAGAGCGCGACCCATTGTAAAACCCGCGTTTTGCTTTACTAACCAATTGGTGCCTGTGACAAACTTCAGTCTTTAGTAGTAAGGTTAGGAGGTCAATAGACCTACGTTAATCCTCGCTATTTGGAGTACCTTCAAGATCCAATTTCACTTTGAGTGTATCAACAGGTGCTGACATTACGTATTCCAATGGAGAGTCACATCAGTTAGTTGCCTGGTGCGAGAAACGGAACTCCAGACGTAAACGATTAAGACTTCGGTTTATCAAACTTTTCAAGAATATCCTCTTATTTTGTCAGTCCTAGGTGGAGTGTAAAGTTGGGATATATTAAAGACCAACATCATCGTTCAGTAGAAGGTAAACCAATATTAGATCCCCCGTAACCTGCAGTACGATAACGGAAATACTTTGAGATGTCTTATTCTGTCTTTATATTTTAGACCAGGGAGATATTTCACCAATTCGGTTCCTTGCCATTGATTTAATTTTAGCATATGTGCCCGATAATTGACTCAAGGACCCGCTGCTTAAATCCCATATTCAAAGTGCGAACTCAAAAAAGTCGGATGTAAAACGCTAAAAATTTCTTCTTCCAAGCACTGGATCAGCTTATGAATAGCTCATAAAACTCTGAAGCTTTTTACAGAGGTTGCTTTGTAGTTACTCGTAGATAATTATTATGGCTCCCAGATCGTAGTAGTCCATTACATCAGGTAACTGGATTCCATATATTGTGTTGTGAGATTAGTCATTGCAGTTATTTACTTGCATCATCACACTTGTGCCGGAGTTAACTTCCAATGACCACCTATTCATTCATTTGTAGTGACCTACTTTTGTCAACAGAACGCGATTGGTACGATGGAAACAATTATTACTATAACCAATTGTACCAGTGATCGTTTTATTGTGCTCGTTTGTTTAACTGTGCTAATAACAGCCATTTTGGTCTTCCATTGTATTCCATTGCTTCTACGCGGTTTTCGACTACGCAAGTATCTTTTCTTGCCGATCGCACCTGTACTCCTTTGGCACGATCTCGGTATTCTTTCGATACCACGAGATCGCCAACAAATATATTACAACAACTATTATCATCTACGTTCTGATTTTTTGGCCTACCGGAATCTTATTGGTCTATTGGCACGTAGTCTTGTAGCGGTGTTCATAGTCAAGCTCAACTCGACACCACGCTACACATTCAACCATTGGTTTTAGGTTATCTTGTAGTACTTTTCCATCTGTTATGCTGTGTATGGGTCTCTGAATCTTTATGTCATCTGAAAAACGTAGAACATGCGATTTTTCACTGCTGGTAATCAACACGTCAACCTAAGTTGTTACAACGTTGCCACAGTTGATAGATTATTTACACGAAATGAAAAGACGAAAGAACCGAAGATTGCAACTTAAGGGATAGATTCCCATTTATTTAACCCGTTGTCTACTATCATCAATAAAACCGCTTAGACGCTTTATAATTTCATAATGGATCCCGGAACTTTCCAGTTTTAATTGCGTCTACCGGAATATATTTGTCTTTCTCATCAGTTCAATCTTCTTCAATGAGCAGATTTGTCAATCATGATAGGCCTTTCCGAAAACTGTGTTGTGCCCTGGATAAAAGATTATGCCCCTCCACGTAGTTTAAAGTAGCCATCGAAATAATATTTTCCATCGGTTTGACAATTACACTGGTGAGAATTTTAGGTTCACAGTTTCACAATGAGTTTCTGCACCGCACTCTATAAACTGGACTGATAATTGTGTATTTCCAGCCTCTTAGCAGCTTTGCCTCAAAGCTGTATAAAGTCCGACAGTACAACTTCAGGTGGAGCTATATAATTTACCATTTCTCCATTGGTACTAGCAGTATCAGGACATTTCAGCAAAGCATAACGGCCAAAATTAAATCGCCGTATTACTGCATATCTAGAGATATAATATGAGTCACTTAACCTACGATCTTTACTTCTAAAAATTAAAGATTAAATAACGACGAATTTCGCACTTATTCCTCCGAATGCTATAGACATTAAAAAGATTTTTTAATAGTTCTGGGTGGAAAAAGTGATTTAACCTTGTTGGTCGCAAAATACCAATGAGAAGAAACGCTTAAAATATCATGTAGAATGATATTTAAGTCCTTGTGGTGGTTCCTATAGCACAAATAACGTATGAGCCTGTAATTTTATGGGTTCTCAAATGTACGGTCTTCGAAGCTTAACCTATGATAAATGAGAAGATTTACACCCAACGGTTAACACAGAGGAGATCGAAAACGGTGAGTGTGAGAACACTTAGTCGTTATGAAATGGCTTAGGAATGCAGGTGTACTCATTATGTAACCTTACTCTCCCATAATAAATATAATATTCTCTTCCTAGCCCGAACTTCTTTTTCACAATTCCTTTAGCACTAACCACGTACTGCACGTTAGGGCAAGTCAGTATAGATAGTGGTGTGACTTTCACATACGCACTGATAGATTATGTAGTCACATTATGGCAATTCCGAGATTGTACAATAAGTCTATTATCTGGTAGCAAAGATGAATGTACTGAATACCGGCTAAGACCATAGTCCTACAATCTTATTCTTGCTCCAGGATAGTCAGTATGGATGATCAAGTTATTTTGAAGCATGTACACAGACCGCTTCAACGTAGGTTTTAACTAGACACTGCGTTTTCATATCACCGTACGTAATAAATCAATCAATGCTTAACGTCAAATCTACTTGTTTGATTCCTTGTCTTTGTGCTCGATGGCCGGAGACAATTGTACTGGGGTGAATTAAACCCACAAATGCCTTCTATTGGTGTATTGAACTGAATTCACTGTCCAGGGTGTCAAACAGTCTGTGTATCCCTGGTATTTACATATCAGTTTAGCAGTGGAATACGGCTAACATGGACAGATAGACATTCAACCCTACAACCGTGTATTGGAAAGATTCTTTTATAAGGTAAATGAATCTAACACATATTCGAGGACAAGTTAATACAGATTTGAACTAGTGCATTTGATCGTCGCATGCCCAGTCAAATGTGATATGTCAAAAGTGAGTACACAGTTATGTGCATTTAACGTGTCTGCAGCGAATACCATACTTCTGAAGTAAAGTCTTGGAAAATAGCTACATGACCTGCACGATCTAAACTCTAATAGCATTGGTGATTACCATCTTTACTGATGTCTATGCAACAGTTTAAATCCATTTTTATACCGACTCCTGCTATATACATATCATGTTAATTTCGTTTTCTGATTTTTTTTATCTGCAATACGAACTTGGGAAATACCCA